TGAAATTATTTTGGAGATTATAATAAATAAATACATTCAATCTGAGTTCCATATCCTCAGTTCAAGAAAACTTGTGTGGTTATTGTTTGTTTCAAGTCATCATCTGTATCCTTTTTTTTTTTTGAGACAGAGTCTCACTTTGTTGCCCAGGCTAGTGTGAGTGCCGTGGCATCAGCCTAGCTCACAGCAATCTCAAACTCCTGGGCTCAAGCAATCCTACTGCCTCAGCCTCCTGAGTAGCTGGGACTACGGGCATGTGCCACCATGCCCAGCTAATTTTTTCTATATATATTAGTTGGCCAATTAATTTCTTTCTATTTATAGTAGAGACGGGGTCTTGCTCTTGCTCAGGCTGGTTTCGAACTCCTGACCTTGAGCAATCCGCCCGCCTCGGCCTCCCAGAGTGCTAGGATTACAGGTGTGAGCCACTGCGTCTGGCCTGTGTATCCTTTTAAATTGAAATTTTTAAAAATTAACTTTGAAATAATTTTAAATTTAAAGAAAAGTTGCAGAAGTAGTACAAAGTATTGGATCCACTTAGTGCGGAATGATATTTACTCAAAGTCTCCAGTTTGTATGGGTGGTGCAAGACACTATTATGCTTAGCTTGCTACATATAAAGGATCCAAATAATTATTATCAAAAATTAGCATGAATGCGAATGCATTTATGCCAATTTTTAAATTTGCTATTTTTGAATTTTTAAATCCTAATTTTTTTCATATTTAATTGGGTTATATGCTTGTATTAGTTGGCTAAGCCTGCTATAACAAAATACCACAGCATCTGGGTGGCTTAAACAACAGAAATTTATTTTCTCATAGTTGTGGAGGCTGGAGGTCCAAGACCAAGGTGACATCAGTGTTGGTTTCTCTTGAGACATTTCTCCTTGGCCTGCAGATGGTGTCCTCACATGGTCTTTTCTCTAAGGTGTGCACATCCCTGGTATTTCTCTCTCCTTATTAGGACACCAGTCATATTGGAGGTTAGGACTTCGATAAATGAGTTTGGGGGACAAATGAGTCTGATTGTCGAGTCTGGCTTATCTTAAAATAGCAGCCAAGGAACAAAGTATTTCAGCATTGTTCCAGTCATCTATTCCATATTTATTTGAAAGACTTAATAGCTATGCAATGCAAAGATTTTTTTGTTTCCTGTTGTGAGACACTTATTCCAGACCACTTAGAGAGTTCCAAATTTTCTACACAGGAAAGTTCTGATTGTCTAATTGGCCAGTATTAAACTCTACCTGTTTGAACACCATCTTATAATCTTTAAGACAATCTAATTAACTAGGTCAAGTGTGTTAGAAAAGATAGTGAGATCAGTAGTGTTATTAAAATGATACTTTGACCAGAAGACCATGGAATGCATGTCCTTTCCCAAATCACAGCCAGCCCTCTCTACAAGCTTTCTCTTAGGGCCACAAACATAAAGGGCCAAGGAAAAATTCCAGCACGGTAATATGTACTATTAGCTATACCTTCTGGCCTCATATGTGAATGCAGAAAAATATGCATGACATAAAGCATTCATCTTTCATAAACTACTTATACTAGTCTCAGAACAAAGCCATGATGTTTTCTTTCTTTCACCACTCCCCACACCTCATGCTCTCCTCCAATCACCTCCAAGCCTGAGTTTAATTGCCCTCCAGAGCAATAGAACCAGAGAAAAAACAGACTTAGAACAAAAGAGAACATTTGACCTTATTGCTTCATGTGGTGCTTCCCTGGGCCACAGCTTGTTCTTTAGCCCCAGACTGGAAGTACCTTGGGAGAAAGGAAGAGAGAAAGATAGCTGGGCCTCTGGTCCTTATTATCAACATATCTACTGTTCATGCATTCATTACTATTCCAGGCCATACACTCCATTTCCCACCATGGAAGAAGAGAGAAAACACTAAACATACCTATATCCTAAGAACTTTTAACTGCAGCAACTTGACACACTAAAACCTGAACACCCAGGTAAGTATTTCTCCTTCTTGAGAAAAGGTGAAACAGGATTTAATATGAAGAAGAAGCAAAGAAAATTCCAAGACCAACTTAGGAAGGAGAGCTCAAGACAACAGCTTTGCAGAAAATTTCACAAGAAGGCAGGAGAGAAGGCTCTAGAATGTCTAAGATGAAAGAAAAGAGACGAGAGGAGAGGAGAGGAAAGGAGGGGGCAAGAGAAAGAGAAAGGGAAAGGGAAAGGGAAAGAGGGAAGGAATAGAATGTATACACCATCAATAAGAATAATAAGAGCAGGGATTAAAACAAATATGTCTCAGTGTATGACTTTATTATAAAGATATAACAAAACACCTCATTGGTCATGTTTGGAGGACACTAGGAAAAATAACTCATTATTTTCAAAAGTGATTAGCAAAGAGAAAGAAACAAGCTTTTACCATATAAACTGCCTTTACTATATAGTTTTCCAGCATACCTTAGAGAATCGGACATTTCATATTTACAACCTAATATTAAATGAATTTGTCAAGGTTATAGGCTACAAGGTCAATATATAAAAATTAATGGTATTTCTATGTAATAGTTATCAAAATTGAAAAATGAAATTTTAAAAATACTTCTTAAAGCATCAAAAAAACATGAAATACTTAAGGATGAACTTAAAATATGGGCAAGACTGAGTAACTGAAAACTAAAAAGCATTACTAAAAGAAATCAAAGAAAACCTAAAACAATGAGAGCTATGCCACAGTCATGGATTCAAAAGACATGACACTGGTAAGATGGCAATACTTTCCAAACTGATCTATAGATCAACACAATCCCAATCAAAATCCCAGCAGGCTTTCATGTAGATATAGACAAATTGATTCTAAAGTGTATATAGAAAGGCCAAGAATAGCTAAACAGTTGGGGGCAAAAGAGACAAAGTTGAAGGAATTACACTGATTTTGAAAACTTTCTATAAAGCTACAGTAATCGAGACAGGGTGGTACTGGTATAAGAATAGACATATAGACAAATCAGTATAGACATATAGACAAATCAGTATAACAGAATACAGAGCTCAGACAGGGCCTCTAATACATGGTGAATTGATTTTCAACAAGGATGCCAAAGCATTTCAATGGGAAAGGACAGTTTTTTCAGCAAATAGTGTTTGAAGAACTAGAAATGAACTTCGACATTTACCTCATACCATACATAAAAATTAATTTGAAAAGGATCACAGACCTAATCACAACAGCTAAAATTATAAAACTTCTAGCTGAAAACAGAAAATCTTTGTGATTTGGGGGTAAGCACAGATTTCTTAGCATACAAAAAGCAAAACCATAAAAGAAAAAAAGCCTTCTAAATTAGACATCATCAAAACTAAAAACTTCTATTTAAAAATTATTAAGAAAACAAAGAAGCAAGCCACAAATAGGTGAAGAAAATTCACAACACATATATCTCACAAAGACCTTTAATCCAGTATAAAGGAAAAATTCTTACAACTCAATAATGAGATAACCCAAATAAAAAATGGTCAAAATATTTGAAGAGGCACTTTCCAAAGGAAGTTATACAAATACCAGATAAGGTTAAGAAAGGATATTCAACATCATTAGGGAAATGCATATTAAAACCACAATGAAATACTACTATATATCCACTAAAGTGGCTAAAATTAAAGACTGACAATACTACGCATTGACAAGAATGTTGAGCAACTGAAACTTCTTCAGTACATTACTGGTAGGCATGCAAAATAGTACAGATACTCAGAAAGCAGTTCAGCAGTTTCAAGTTACACATATACTTGTTATAAGACTGAGTAATTCCATCCCTAGGTATTTACTCAAGAGAAATGAAAAGATATATCCACACACAGAATTGTGATGTATGTACATAGCAGCTTTATTCATAATAGGTCAAAACCCGAAACAACCTAAATGTCCATCAATAGGTGGATAGCTAAACAAATTGTGGTTTATCCATATGTTAGACTACTATTCAGCAATAAAACAGAACATATTACTGATATACACAATAACATGGTTGAATATCAACATGGATGGATTTCAAAAGCATCATGCTGGGCAAAAAATGTCAGACACAAAAAGAATACATATTGTATAGTCTATTTATTTGAAATTCTACAAAAGTCACATCTAATTTATAACCACGAAAGCAAACAGATAGTTGAATAAGGATGGCTGTTGGGATGGAGGGGCATTGACTGCAAAAGGGCTTTAGAGAACCTTTTGGATAATGGACATACATTACATCTTTGTAGTGGTGGTGAAGTGGATGTCCACATTTATCAAAACTCTACAAACTATAAACTTAAAATACTTGCATTTTTTTCCTAAATTATACTCATTTAAGAAAATTAATAGAGATGGGCAGAGGATATCATAGTCTCATATTCTTCCCTTCCAATTAAATCTATAGTCAACAATGTAGTCTATCACAATTCCAAGTCAGTAGACCTTTTAATCTTAATGTCTTAAAAATTTTACATGTTGTCTTATATAAAAATATTCATTTTCAATAGAATTTCCATGACAAAAAATTCTAAAATCAGAAAAGAATTCCCACCTTAAAAATAATCTCATGCTTACTGTTGAAATATAATCTGCTCTAATTTTTGTTGGGATTTGAGGATCTAAAATAATACCCATTGTCCTTCCTGACCTCTGAAC